TACAATGCTACCATGATTCCTGCCACTATATGCCTATAAGAATTGATAATTAAAAACTGGATATTAAACAAATCGATGACCACATTCCCTGGAAGCAGATATGGCGGGTATGGTGGAGTACAGTCCTTATAAATAAAGCTGGTGTGATTGTCATAGTACGCATTCCAGAATTAAGCAACCATCATACGGCATTCTATATCTATCAAGGGTCCCAAATTCAAGCTGCAAAATGGATACATAAAGCAATGTTGTTAGTCAAGATGGGTCAATAGTATAAAATACACTGATTCCTACCGTTTGAACTTGGCCAACCGTTGTCTGTGAGATTGCCCGATCCCAAAGCCTTCCACATATACTCAAGAAGGTTAATTCATTCTGGTTGGCCCCAAACCGGTCAGAGGATGTGATAGTACTCAGACTGTGGCCATGGGAATCGCAGGAAGGAAACGAATGGGCGCCCCTTGCGTCGCTTAACGGTTTAGTATTATTTTTATAAGTTCATTTCATTTCCATTTATTCACCTAATGACTTGTATTCTTGATAGTGCTATAAGTTTTGTCGTCAACAAGGAAGGTTCCAGCCGGGATTACCCTACAAACCATTATAGTTTCTCATATTTTCGTATACTGCATTACCAAGACAATTAAAAATACACACTTGTGCATCACTAGGGTGAGAAGATAGGTAGGCGATTTGGTACAAATGCGACATCTGATTGTCTTGCAGATCGATGCCCCAAACCAAAACATGCTAAATACAACAAAATTAGATTTGGTATAGTAATATATAATCTTTACGAAACTAGAATCTTACTTCCTGCTCCGATATTAGTAACTCGGTCTTGATATTGTAGATTGGCAAAGGCAGACATAAATTGAAATGCGAATTCACTGTGCACAACCTCATGATCCTTATTCGGCAACTCATATATGATTACAACACCATTATCAAACTCCCAAAATCTACCTGCATTCGCAATTTCGATTTTCTTCTCATAATTATGGTATGTTACGTTTTCCACGAGACACAGAGGCAGTCTAACAAGATAAGCAAAACTTTTAGCATGGTCAATAGGAAACGGATGATGCGCACAACGATTATTACCTTTCCTCGTCGATACCCTTATAATTCCCATCAATCCACCATTTTTTTTTCTTTATTGCTAGCTTTATTGATAATGTTAGCGTCGTCTAAGTTGGATTCGATAACTTTTATACATTCCATGAGAGCCTCCGCATCCACAGAACTTGAATATGGACTTATAGTTCAAGATAAAGCATTTGGAGTTGAAGTTGAAGAATATTTGAACTGCGTGTTACTTTTTAGTTCACGAGAATGAGGTGGGTACATATACCTTAATTTAGTAGACCCCATATTTACTAATGAATATTTGGGTGACCCCAAGTGATTTTATGTTCAGATAAAGCTAACATGATTCAAAGAATAATTTCTGTGAAAATTGTTCGATACAATGATTTTTAAATATCTCTTTTATTTTCGCTACTTCTATGGGTATTTTTCACACTTATTATTTTTCATTCTGTGGTCGAATTTTGTTGTTAGGCCATTGGCGAATCTCATTCATGTGACTTGGCAGCGATTTTATTTTACGGTATGCTCATATACAATTACATTAACAAAAAGGAAATATAAAGATTTTATTACATTGATAGATTTTATGAGCTTTTACCGATAATTTTGATACTGTTTGCGTCCCTTCTTTTGAGCAACGGCAGCCTGAATATATCCTTCATATACACTCTCTATATTGGCTAATTTTATGCGCAAATGCTCATCAGAAAACACATAGTCCAAATCATTTTCCAAGGAAGAAAACGAGTTGGTCCGACCGGCTTTAATATCATTGTAAATCTTTATAATGTGATTCCTTTCTCTTTGCCACTCTCTACTCATATTAAAAATGCTGCCTAGTATAGAAAATTTAATCGGTTCATTAGAACTTTTGCGATCACTTTGAAAATATTTATCGTGTACTTGAGAGACAGCCTTGATAAGCTTTTTTGCAGCTGCGGCAAATTCATAGCGAATAATTTTCCAATTGAACGTGGCACTCGCAACGTTATTTGTATGGTTGCACGGATCTATTATGACGAGCGTATCTGGCCTTTTTGTTGAAATTAAAGTTTCTGCCTTGTAGAGGTAATTACCATTCGACTTTACACATACCGCTAAATCTTGATAGTTGAATTTGTTGCCATACAGATCAAAGAACTCGATCAACAATACTCCGAGATTTTGACAAGCATTAATTTGCTTAGTTCGTAGTAACCTATGATGCTACATTTCAAATCATAATAAAGATTTATTATATAGGGCAAGGTAATGAAACGATAGAAATAACACTCATGATAGATTACCTGCAGAAAAGAAATAACCAGCAAGAAAACTGTATAACTTCCCATCCCGCCATTTGCAGGTTCATTCAATCCGTTTAGTTTTAAAAAGAATTTAACAGCTAGTACCAATTCTCTTGAGCCAGGATATCGATTTGTTTAATATCCAGTTTTTAATTATCAATTCTTATAGGCATATAGTGGCAGGAATCATGGTAGCATTGTAATACAGTGGCGCTCAAAAGTATTGCATCACCCGGACGATAAATTTCACGATTTAATAACGTTTCATATACAATATCAATCAATATATAAATAGGCTCATTATAATGCCTATATATGGACAAAACATATGAAAGTTAATTATCTCACATGCTAAAAATATACTCCACATATGAACTTTTATAGAATATTTTGGAATTCTCTTTTGTGAAATATCTATTCCAGCTTTATAAAATGCTGGCATGATATTTTAAAATATCTGAAAAGTTAATTTATCTGAAAATATAATAGTTTTTCAGTTTTGTTTGACATGAGTGATAATCTATTCTACTTGATATTCACATTGTTTTGCTATAAGTAAAGATATAGTTTTGAGTGATATCCAAGCTTATTAAGCTCATAGTTTATTATTTATGCTAATATTTTTATCCTAAAACTTAATTTGGTGATAATTTCTTCACATGTAAGATATTAATCATTTTGAATCATTCTTTCTAATATATATCTATTTTGGAAAGTTAAAATTCTTGGATATCCAGGATGAAAAATGGGTTTAATATTATCATTTTTTTTTAGTTGTTTGATATATTTATATATTGTAAAAAGAGAAACATCACTTAGTTATGCTAAAGTTTGAGCATTTCAAACACTACAGTTCCAAAACTCATGATTCTTTATCAGTTAGCAAGTGAAATTTTTTCTATTTAATAACAAAATAGCAGGAGAAATTAAGTATATTTTACTTTCTTTTAAAGCTTGTTTTTTAGATCCGTTAATAAACAAACCACTGTCAAATTTTGGTTGTATCAGCAGAAGTTTTCTATATATGATTTGTATAATATTCAATTTATGATAAACACTATATACCCTTCTTAAAGAAGAATATTCTTCCCATTATATTGCAAATTGTGAAAATATTTCCCAATCCTCCATTATAAGAATAAAGCAAAAAAAAGATACTCATAATACCTTTAAAGATTTACCA